CGGTTTATTTACGAGGTTTACACAGTTACGAGGCATTTACGCGTTTATATGAATACGCTGTGTATTTATAAATTTTTAATTTGGTAGATATGGCTTTGAGAGAGCCAACTAATAGAAAATTAAAAACTAATAAAGCTTTTCCGAAAAAATGTAAAATAAGACTTTTGCATTGATCGTGTAGAGTTTAATATAAGCGCATGTAGTTTTAATTAACTTATAAATAAGCTTGTCACCTTGAAACATATTCATAAAAACAGGCTATATAATAATAAGTAATCAATTCATACAATTTGCAGGTCCACAGTTCTGTGAGCATACTTATCAAATTATAGGCTTGCGAGGAATTATACATATATACGTATGTAGTATGTACATTTGCATAATACCCAGAAAGCAACAGATGCTCATAATGGGTTGCAATATTACAAGTATGACGTGTTCGTTTCAACATTAAAATCACAAAAACAAACATACCTACAAACTTCCGCTCCTGGAATATAAAATACACTTGCATACGTAGATATGCCAAGTTCGAGTGCAATTATTACCATCTAAATACATGTACATATGTACATACATATACAATGCATATAATATTTCTCATAATGTAAATAATTTTTGTATACACAAATGCGCGCGCTGTACGCATGCAATATATCACATGGGATTGGGTGTGTGCCCTATCACATTTCCTCCTTTAATCCAAATCACATTAATGACTCCCTAGTTACTCATATTCAATTATGAACTTTCAGAAAAGCATAACCTAGAAACTTACCATGAAAGGATTGAGAGTAGCTGTCCGGATCGACAAACCGTTTGGCCGGCAACGATGATGCCAAGATGGGATTCATTAGAACTGCGTTTATGTAAATCTGTAATGCTTGTCGCCTTTCAGCTATGAAATCTGGCCGCATATTACCGAAAAGCCGTTTGCCTGGCATGGGCAGATCGATACCTGAAATGCAGAGGCATTTGTGCAACTCGGCGAAGTCATTGTAGCGGCGCAAAATTTTCCAAGAGTTTTCCTTATTAGTGCCCCGCTGCAACCGCAGTAAATACTCCTAAAATGAAAAAAGAATGTTGGTGCACGTTATTTACTTCTTTGTTTTCTATGGACATATGTAGG